ACCATGCCGCTAGGGAGCCAAAACTATGAGTGCCGGAATTGGCCCTACCTGATCCTGCGAACGCCCAGATGCCGGATCATATGCAACGCTTACGACGGCCGGATTACGGCACGATGCGTTGCCCCTTGCGCATGAAGCATATTGCAAAAAGCGAAACGAATCTTGATACAATTGATACGCCTGATACGCATATTCACAGCAAGTGGTCATGTATGTAATGCTTCTTTCTTTTTCTTCTTTGAAAAACTTTTGTATACTTTATGTATGTATCTTGTATCAGGCGTATCAGCTCCACCCGACGCACATTGCAGACATCATTTGCTTCTCTGCATCATTGAGAGAATGATAAATACTTCGCCGCCCAGAATTTGGCTCATTTGGCATTCCAAAAGAACAGTTGGCAACAAATTCCGAGATTCCAAGACTGATACACACCCGTTCAAAACAACCAAATTGTTGTATCCGCTGTATCAGTCTGCCTATGGGAGGTTCCCTTGCGCATCCGTCCGCCCTAGCCCCTCCTCGGTCTTCAAACGAATCCCAAAGAAACCTCTAAGCCGCTTCTTACTGTCGATCGTTCGAATCAAGATGGCTTTTCCCCGCTCTTGTGGGAACCCCTTCAATCGCTTCGCTCTTGTCAAACCGTCCCCCGCCAATGCCACATCATGCCCACTTGAGTACAGAAAGTTTGTGAAGGCCTCGACAAACTCGATTCTGGTGACGCTTGCCGCCTCTCCCTCGGCCGTTTCCTTAATAGTGCAAGCCTCGTCTATGAAAACTTGAAGCTTGTCGTTCCGACTCCGAAGCGTACTCCCTTACAGCCGCGCTAAACTCCTCGGGGACTGGCGAGAGAACCTTTGAGGCGGGAGCTAGTGCCCTCTTCGCGTAGTACATGATCGCCCCCTGAACGCAAAAGTCTAAAGTGTCCGCTGCTCCTTCATCCGATTCGAAATATGGCTTCAAGGTTACATCGATGGGCCTGTGCATCTTGTTTGTTGCATCGAGCTCGTGGGGATTCTTGAACGTGTAGTTGAACATGAGCAACACAAGCCTTCGAATGAGAGCGGTGTCATTGCTTGGAAAGTCCGGCATGTAGTTCGTGAACAAACAAAGCTTGTATTGTGGCACGTAACGAGTCTGCGGTTTGCAGAACAACATCACGCGCATCAAGCTCGCCACCACCGCTGGCCTCTTTCACAAAAGATGCGTGAAGCACCTCTCTTCCTTCCGATTCGTCATTCGTGACAAATCTCTTTGTTCGAATCTGCATGAGATGGCTTGAGGCCGCAGAGGCATTAGCCTTGAACGTGGGTTTGATGAAGATGGCCTTGTTCCCCGCACAATTGTAACGTCCAAAGGCCTTTCGGAGTGCTTGCTTCAACACTCCTTTTCCATTCGAGCCGCTATGACCATTCATGATGACAAACAACTCTTCCAACGTCTCTCCAATAAGACAATAGCCAAGGAACATCTGGAGCCACTCGATTGTCTCCAGTGGAAGAACATCCATCAGGAATGTTCGGAATCTGGCAGTGGGGCGTGTGGAAGCACCCGGCACGTATCTAGTTGTCTGATTGATGCACAAGTTCTGAGGATGATGGGGGAGCAAAGCACCGGTTCGAAGATCGATCAACCCGTTTGGAGCATTTGCAACTGTGGGATCTTGATCAAATCGGTCGAGCAGACCATTTACGTGCAGCTCTCTAACTGCAGAGTGCAAGCACTTACGTACGTCAGCAACATCTTGGACGTTGATCCTTCCAAAACTTGGTGTAACGGCACGACTGCGCACCGACTTCTGGCTGCGCGCCAAACTCGCGGCCGCGCATCGTCCGTTATTATACGCTATCGACTTATTTGATGTATCGAATCACTACACGACACGTGTCTGGGTTACTGTTCCACCGCGTGACCGTCCGATAAGACCCACGTGCACCGCGTGCGAAGGGAACCGTCCGATAGGCTTTCGAGACTAAGTGTGACGGTTGGACAGGGTCACACGCTGCCTGTCTACTTCACATGTGCGGAAACCATGCGAAGCTTCTCAGCACGCCTTGGGATCACCTCGTGCAAGAGCGCCTCTCAGAAAATTGCGTCTTCTTG